ATCTCAAGAAATAGTGTAAACTCTTTCAGAATCTACAAGTTATTTCCACATGTGATATATATTTATTTTTTTCCCTGAAAATGATTTTAGTAATTATTAGTAGCACTAACATAAGCTGGGAAGGAGTGAAGATTTCAGTCTTTGTTGAGAAAGTTTCCCACACATGAAGGAGGTGCCAACAACGCTTGCCCCAGTATCGGTCAAATACACTGTTTTAAATTTCATTCAGTCTATACTATCTATCTTTCACTATTTTGAAAGTCATATTTGAACAATGAGATCATTCTAGATGTCCTGTGGGAAATTCGATCTCATGGATACAAGTGAGCTGTTTGGAGCATATCCCCAGTTTAATCAAAACCTCCGCAGATGACTTGAAAGTTGAGCTGTCACAAGCTAAGGATTTTTAGGTTAGCTGACAGTCCCATTGGAGATACTGAATAATGTAGCCTTCTGTTAAAGAGAACGGCTTCTTCCAGTAGAAAATTTTGTTTTGTTTCTCTAAAGAACGTAGCTGTCATAAACATCTACAGGACAGCTGTGAACTTCAACAAAAATATTTACTCAAGATAGTTCAGTTGTAGAGATATCCATCTGACAAATATTGCAGAGTTTTCTTGTTTTTGTTGGTAAGACTTACTGTTCCCATGTGCAGTGGACTCAGCACTTTGCTGTGTGTTGCTGGGTGTATGGACAGCAGTGAACAACGCACCATGCTCCAGTTTATTACTATGTGAAAACACTCTCCACACATGTTAGTGATCAGAAAAATTGTCTCAAGTGTAACTGGCCCTTGCACATCATGAACGTAGGTAAAAAACACTTCATGAGAAAGTGAGTTACAATGACACAAGTAACCATTTGATCTTACTATTAAGCTTCCTAGTTTCTTTCAGTGTGCATTCATTCTACTTTTATTTGCAGAGTAATATTTTGATGCAGAAAACCCTACCACGAAACCTATGTACGTATCTTCAATTTACAGAAAATTCATATATTAATAATTCAATGTATTTGGTCAGTTACTGTCGGCACTTCTTCAGAGGACATCCAAATTCTGCATTTAGATGCTCAAATCACTGTAGAAGATGAGAACATTTGCATACAAGACCTGAACTGTCTCCAAAGTGCCCATGTATAAAATCTAGGTATGCTAAGCATTTCTGGCAATTTGATTATGTAATTGTTTTTAATTGGTCCTTGCTCTAAGCCCAACCATTGTGAGTGTTAAAAAATAAATAACTGATGTAGAAAAAGCTTGATGCCTCAGTTAAGTACAGATGCTAAAGTGGAGAAAATGCCACTCAGCATCAGTGTCTGAAACAAGTTCATTAGTCTGCCCGCAATGAATAGGAATTCTAATTATTGCTTTTCTAGAATTATTTTCATACAGTTTCTCTCAAGTCAGTCAAGCATCAAGACTCCTAAACCAAAAGCTTCATTAAGATGCTTCAAGATTCTTGGGGGCATTAGTGTAGTGCTGTTCATGTGAACTTCATATTTGGATGTCTGTGATTTTTTGTAATTTCGTGCATGACAGCTGCAAAATTTGATAACAATTTGTTAGTATTTAGTGAACTGCACAGCACAATATCAGTACAGAACAGCTGTGCTGTGTGGATGAATATTTTAAATCAAATGTATTAATATTCTCTCTTAGATAAAATGAAAACTTCAGCTCATAGGAAGCTGTATTTAGTGTGCCTTATGAAATCCCTAATTTGAAGTGTATGACAGTTTTTGATGCAACCCTCCCATGAAAATGCAGTGGCATTGCAGATGTCTCTGTCATGTGCCCATCTTTTATGTGTCCACAGCTCTCAGTTGTTTATCTCTGATTATCTCTGTACTGATAATCAGGTTCTGTGTGCTCTGTACTTTAAGAGGCTTGCCGTAGTTATAGAGCCTTTGATTCTATGGTAATGACTTAATATTTATAGCTGCAAGCAGATTCCAGTGTTTATCCTATTTTTACTACTGCTATAATTATCTCTGCTCTATAGCAGCTCCATGGTCAAGTTGCACTTAAGACCTGTTTTTACTATCTCTGTATAATTTCAGCAGGATAATATTTTTATTTTATTCCTCTAATCTTACCACTGGGACCCCGCCATATTTTTAAGCATGGAAGTTAAATTGTCCCGTTTCCAATTGAGAATGTTACCGTAAGTTTGGGAATGCTGTCTCTCATGAGAGAGACATGAATGTTCCAACTCCTGTGCAAGCAAAACCAATCACATTTTAAAGAGATTTAAGTTCTCATGTTGGGAGTACCAAAAGTTACCACGTCAGCTCCCCTGGTCATTCAGTCATCAATAGCATATTGAGGTTTGTTAAAAGATTAGAAGAGCTCTGGCATCGATTGCTAAACATATTTATTATGATGTTGACCACTTCAGATATGTACAGATCACTGATGGTCATTTACTTAAGCCTTCCATGAAAGCTTTGTGTCACTGTCTTCTTGCTGAATCTTTGTAGCAGAAGAGCTGTCCCACTGCTCTCTCTGCATCTCTTGTGGCTCATGGTAATCACAGATTATTACACTGAACTTTGAAAATCTGCTTTTGTTTATAGCAATGAAAATACTAAATAAAGCAATTAAACTTTAATAAAAAACAATACTTTGAATGTTTTTTTCCAATATTTTAGATAAAGAAAGCATCTTTTAAAATGAATATAAAGACTCAAAGACCAATGAATCATTAAACTCTGGTACCAAGTGCTTTCAAGACCAGTATTGTAACTCTGATCTGCCAAAGCTAACCTTAGACAGACTTATTTAAAGTCTAAAGCTGATCAAGAAACTTGCTAGGTTCTTGGCTTTTGCATCTGAGAGTTTTGTACATGATTATAGGTTTTTTTTTTTTGTAGCAGTTTTCTTAGTTTTTCATCTTTCCAAGTAGTGGAAAAAACATTTTCACCTTTTCCTTATTCAGTTCTTCTGAAAAATACTGTAGGATAGTTTCTATCAGAGGTTGGTACCAAGGGATGGGAGCATTGTCCATGCATCCTTGATTTTAGCAACTAAGTTCAGAACAGGGCATCTTCTGTGACCTCTGTCTTCATGGCTGTGTTAACAACCTTTTGGATCATATTTCTGAAATACCTGATCTTCCTCGTGTATTCATGCAGTGGAAATGCTCTCTTTTGCAGTTTTGATTTTGCTCTAGCTGTGAAGTGTTGGAAACACTCAAGAAACCTAAGAAACTTTCTTAATTTGTCCCTAAGTTCTTTTTGTATCTCCATTAAACACATTTTTTTCTAGTACAGTGGTTTCAAAACATGGATGTTTTATTTAATGGAAATATTAAATTCTGTGGATGCTCGTAAAAAGTTAAGTTCTGTAAAGTATGATGTAGTTATTTTCACTATGAGATTGCAAATGGTTTTGCATTTTATGTTCTTTTGATTCCTACTTGGTAAAAATACTTAGTATGGAATGAGGCAGAAAGCTATATTAACTCCATAGAATTGAAAGATGATGTTGAATTTCAACCTGTTAGCGGGTTGCTTTACCAAACCTGTTACTTCTCAATGTTTGACAGTTTGACATGTTGGCAAAAGGGAAGCTTTTGTTTTTTCTTTTTTTCTCCCAAGCTACATAGCATTACTTGATTGATGTGAAGTGACAAACAAATGTCTGTTCTTTAAGGTCATTGTCCTAAAATGATTGCAATGATGGTGTGATATTCCTTCCCTTTTAATATACACACATATGCACGTGTGCTCATGCACGTGCTTCAGCTTACATCTACATGCATGGGGAAGAAGTTGATTGATTGATGTATATCCTTGGTCCTAAGGTTGTGTGAATAGAAATACTTAAGTGGAAGTATTGAATATTCTTGGAAGAATGAAATGGAATGAAGTAATGAGGTTTTGCTTATCTGCTTACAAAAAAATTTCCAGGAAGAAAACTATGAGTAATGTGGTAGAAGGCCAAATACTTTTGGAATCTCAGAAGTTTTTCACTGAAAAATACTTACAGCCTTATAAGCTGGAATTTTCCAGTATTGGGGGATCTCTTTGATCACTTTTTACTTGAATATTGTCTTCAGAACTAAAAGTCACTTATTTCACCTGTCATATCTGTCAGGAGCTTTTTGAAGACCTATTTTTTCAAAGCGTTATCATGAGGTTAAAATATGCAATTCTTCCGTCTCTTATAATCATATGTTAACTTGATCCTCACAAAATATGTGAAAACTTCCTTGAATTTGTTATTTAATCTGGTATCCTGTTTTCAGAGAGTGTTGTACCCTGGGCCAGTGAATTAAACTTCTACAGTGAGATGCAGACAGTTACTTTAATACATCCAGCTTTTAAAAAAGATTTTTGTTAAAACGCTTTGTAAAATGGTCATGTGGGAACCTTTAAAACTGGTAAATCCAGGGAGGCTTTGCTTGGCACACATCATGTCTCCTATTGCCCTAATTCAAGGTTAGCTCTAGAATGGAAGCAAGTTTCATTTTTTTCTTTAATTCTCGGAAACAGAAATCTTTCTTGAACTCAAACTCTGTATCTCCCTAGTAGATATTACTATCCCAACTTTTAAACCTGAACTTTGGATAAGTTTTGAGGACATTTCCATGCAAAGTTTCATGATACTATATATTGTACACAACTCTTACAATATAATTTTAATTAGAAAATACAAGAAGTTTTTTTTTAAGTTATTCTAAGGAAAAAGGTCTGTTTAACTAGTTTTATTATTAATGTATCGTACTGACCACGAGTTATTCTAAATTGCAAGATTGGTGCATGGTGTTTATTACTACACTTTAAAGTATAGCTATAGGAACTATAAGTCTATTTGAATCAAACATAAAACCAGGAATATTTGCATACATATTTTCATTACAAAAAATCAAGAAAAACACATGACAGCATTCTTGATCAGAATCCATCAGCATTATCGTGCTTACAATTTCTGCAGGTATGGTAGGAAATTAAAAATTGAAACTTCAGATTAATTAAATATTTGCTTTTCTTTTTAGATTATCGACATAATGGAAGAGACCTCCAAAGTTCAACGCTATCAGTGCCAGAACAAGTTATGTCATCTAATCATTGCTCTCGATCAGGGTCCCCTCACCGTGGAGATAGTATAGGACGGACAAGATCGTGGTCTCCCAGTGTCCCTCCCCCACAAAGGTAAATTGTTATTGAAACATGTAGGTATATAAACTTAAGTTCTATTGATCCTGTAAAAATACTGGAAAGAATCTCCTGACTTTCAAAATGGGGACAAATTGATTAGATCTTATAAAACTGTATGAAGTCAGTAATGTTCTTATTACATTATATTGATGTCTGGAAGTTCATCTGATTTTATGTCTAAAGAAAGAAAAATACATCTCCAGATTTTTATTTTCATGAGCTATTTAGAAGATGCCTTTTAGTTTCTGATGGTTTGACATTTTCTCATTGTTCTGGTGCATTATTCTCATCAGTGGCTGTTTTCAATCTTTTTGTCTGTGTAGAATTAAGATGCTGGCAGTGCCATACTTCCCATAAAAGCTTTCTTTCTACATCTTCTTATACTGAAAAAAATCAACTCTTCATTTGGAAGGTTTGTGATGTTTTGTAAAACCAAGATCAGGACAATTCTTCTGACCTGACCAATTTGGATAATTACAACTATTTGATTCAATATACTTTTTAAGAAATAATTAGAACTTTTTCTGTAAGTTTCTTAAGAGGAAACAGAATATAGTTATCAAGGGGAATGAAGCCTGTGTTCCAGCATTTTTTTTTACTATGTATGGGTAGGTTTTCAATCGCTGTAATTCAGCTGGAATAAAAGGAATAAGATAATGTTCACTGTTCCCATTTAATACTGAAGATTTGGTATCCAGTAAGGTATGTATGTGTATTCCTTTTTTTTTTTTTTTACAGCCATTCCAATTCTCTTGTGTTCTATGTTTCTTTATTTCATTTTTGTTCTTTCTGTTAGTTTAAGATTCTTTTGACCATATTCTCTTACGTTTTTACTTACCATTTCCCCTAACAAACAGATTAAATGTTACCATTTTCCCTAAGTGAAGTATTAGGATTCCAAATTATCTCCTAGCTAACAGGTAGAAAATTAAGTTTCTTCTTGAAATCTAAAAACATACCTAAGCATGGCCTTATTTTAAATGAAACATACTGGTAGTTAGATAAACAGTAGACACAGAGAGGCCTATTCTGATTTCAGTGGTACTGAATTCAGGCTAAGTAATTGCTTATACTAACTGTTCTGGGGTTATTCCTATTGGATATTTAAGAGTCCTTAAGTTTTTAAGGGTCCCTTCTAACTCAAACAGTTCTATGATGCTATGATATAGACATAAATATGGTCAAAATCCCTCTTTAAAATTATTTTATTTTCTGTGTTGTGTGTATTTGAACCAAGCCAGTAATTAAGACTTGTCTAAAACCATTGAAAAACCTTTTCATTTTCTTGCTATTTTGTATGTTGGTAATATTTACATGAAACATTCCTTGCTTCCTGATTTTAAGCTAAAATTTTAAATATAATTTGGAACTTACAGAGTAAGTTTCAACTGTTATTTATCTAATATTTTCCTGCCCATATCCTAAATCATTAAGAGCCCACAGATAGAGTTGCTAGAACATGGGACTTCATAGAAAAGAAGCAGCATAGTCTTTTGAGTACAGAAATGCCTGTTTTAAATCTAGTGAAGATCTAGGTCTACTTGGAAGAGCTGTAATCATTTTTACATTTAACATCTTGTTAATAAATGTATATGGTTTGAAGCCCTTAGAATTCACAAATGATACCTGGCATAATAATTGAAAAGAAAATATTATTTTGAATAGCTATATCACGTGGCAGCTGTCAATTTGCATGGTTTTATTTTTAGCAGAGGTTAGGACAAGTCTTATGTAGAGCAGTAGAAGACTTGTCGTGTTTTCACTAATGTATGCAAAGGGCTGTGTGCTTCTAGATCAGGTTAGATTGTGTCAGACAGTGATGTTTAGTTTTTTTCTAAGATGGCATTTGAAAAAGTAAGATGGTAGAATACATTGATCTGGATGAGAGGATTAGGTGCACCCTCAGAAGGGTTTCATACAGTAACAAGTTAGGTGGGAGTGTTGATCTGCTTGAGGATAGGAAGCCTTTGCAGAGGGATCTGCACAGGCTGGATTGATGAACTGGTGCTGTTTCCTGGATCACAACAATCCCATGCAGTGGTATTGGCTTGGGGAAGAGAGACTGGAAAGTTGCCCAACAGAAAAGGACCTGAGAGTATGGGTCAATAGCCAGCTGAACATGACCCAGTAGTGTACCCAGTGGCTCTGGTGAGACTGCATCTCGAGTACTGTTCCCTCACTACAAGAAGACTGGGTTTCTGGAACATGTTCAGAAAAGAGCAATGAAGCTGATGAAGTGACTAGAAAACAAGACAGATGAGGAGTGGCTGAGGGAACTAGGGATGTTCAGTCTGATGAATAGGAAGCTGAGGGTGGATCTCATTGCTCTCTACAAATTTCTTAAAGGAGGTTTCAGTGAGGAGGGTGCCAATTTCTCAAGTGACAAGTGATAGGATAGCAGGAAATGGTCGCAAGTTGTACCAGGGAAGGTCTAGATCAGATTGCTTTACTCCATACACATTCTGTTAAATGCAGAAAGGTTCCAAAGGAGTAGATGTATAAAATGAGAATTTTTTTTCCTTATATAACAAATTTAATTGGAGAAAGTATGTCATTTCCCCTTAAACAGCAAATCTAGCTAACAAAGGCATCTTTAGCAGAGTAAAAGAGAGCTTTATTTGAAGTACAAGAAATACATTTGTGTAGGATGTTTAAAGGCAGCATGAAGTCATAGCATGATATAATAGAGAAATCTAAAGGAGAAATGACTTATTTAGAACAGTAAGCTAAAAGTACAATTTTACTGAAAGCTATTTGAGCAGACAGGATGGTACGCCATTTTCAGGACCAACGCTAATAATTTGGTAGTTTGGGCAGAAGTTTTCACTGTGTGTGGAGAAGATGAAAGTCAGGTATTTGGAAAGTTTTGTAAAAAAGTGACAGGTTGAGAATGCTTTGATATTTAAATCAAAAGAAGGATGGAGTAAAAGAAGATAATACTATAAACAGAAATGGTTGTTTTTTACAATTTTTTTTTAAACCTCAATGAAATGATAGACTGTGAAAAGGAATTAGAGACTAAAATTGATAAAGAAGGAAAAAAGAATTTGTTGCTGAACAGCAGAAGAGAACCACCAGCATCCATTTTAGAGTGAAAATGTGTATGAAAGAGTCCAACTGTGGAGTAAAGCCTTTTTGGTATTAATAATTTTGGTGTAAATAAGGTGGTTAAAACATGTACAGAGGAGTTATGGGCTACATGTTATAGAGTGAAAGGTAGAAAAATTATACCTATTTCTAATATGGTAATTAGAAAATCTAGTTGGTAAACTAAATTCTGAGGACTCCAGAACTGTGTCGAGTTCTGGAGCCCCCAGCACAAGAAGGACATGGAGCTGTTGGAGCAGGTCCAGAGGAGAGCCATGAAGATGATCAGAGAGCTGGAGCATCTCCCCTATGAGCACAGGCTGAGGGAGCTGAGGCTCTTCAGCCTGGAGAAGAGAAAGCTTTGAGGAGACCTTACAGTGGCCTTTCAGTATCTAATGGGGGTCTACAGGAAAGCAGGGGAGGGACTTTTTATGAGGGCAGGTAGTGACAGGATGAGGGAAAAAGGTTTTAAACTGGAAGAGAGTAGATTTAGACTAGATATTAGGAAGAAATTCCTTATTGTGAGGGTGGTGAGACACTGGAACAGGTTGCCTAGAGAGGTTGTGAATGCCTCCTCCTTGGAAGCTTTCAAGGCCAGGCTGGATGGGGCTTTGAGCAACATGGTCTACAGGGAGGTGTCCCTTCCTACAGCAGGGGGTTGGAAATAGAATCAGAATCATAGAATGGCCTGGGTTGAAAAGGACCGTAATGATCATCCAACCTAAACCATTCTCTGATTCTAACTTACTATTTGGCTTCATAACAGCCAAAGTGAAGAAATGCAATTACAGAATGGTGGAGTTTGGCAGAGACCTCTGAGTCCATCTCATCAACCTCTGCTCAAGAAGGGACACTCAGAGCAGGGTGCCCATTTCCATACCCAGTTAACTTACTGGAAATAAACTATTGCTGCTGGCAGAAGTTCACGTTGCTCTTTTATTTAGATTACAGGGGTTTTTTTTGTTTGTTTTTTAATCAGTCTTTACTGTGCCAGAAATCCAGCAGTACTCATTGTGTCTTACTGCAGTTTACATATTTATATTATAACCAAGCTCAAAGCTCTTGGAAAATTCTTTACAGTGTATTTTCATCTAGGAAGGTAAATTTCATTGAATGTGCTTGTTTGGAAAGACTAGCTTTTGTCTAAAATGTACCATTTAAATAAAATAATTGTGTATCAAAACGAAACAAAAAATCATATCCCTACCATTAAGTTAGCACTTTTTTCAATAGACAAAAATAAAGATTACAATAAAACTATGAATTACGTTTGTATGAAATTATACAAAAGATAGATCAGGTAAACCAACTCATGTTTGCTAACAGCTTTCTGTTGTAGTCCAGCTGTACCCAGAATTCAGAATGTGCTTTCTTTTATCCCTAGTCGGAATGTGGATCAGGGACCAAGAGGGACACGATCTACTGCTGCACATTACAATACCCTGAACCGAATGGAAAGACACCGTGCAATAGATGACCACTACTCCCCGGACAGAGAGAGGTAATTATCTGACTTATATTTAGCATACCTGTAGCCTACTCTCATTAGTGTGAAATACTTCAGAGTGTCTCTAAAATAGGTAACCAGATTGCTTTTACCTTTTCCCACAGATGAACATTTCCCTACTCATTAAGAAAATACATACAATGTGCACAAGGCTGACAAAATTCTTTGCAAAGAGGGAAACTGAACAAGCTATGATAAATTGTTTAGTTTTTCTTTTTTATTGGGAATATTTCTATGAACTACATTCCCCTAAGTGCAGAATATCTTAAAAAAAAAATTAAGAATGAACTTGGTCATTTTTGCTGCTGAATGAAGCTGAAAATCTGTGCATTATAAGGCAGATTATAATTAGGCTGATATTATCCCATTTCATAAATGTAAATAGCATTTATGTATATTTTGTATATTTTGCAATTCAAGTGAGTCCTGTGTGGCTAGTATATGAAATTAATACTTCTACTGATGATTCTTACAGATTATTCTTCAAGTGACACCAAAGCACAGAATTGGTGTTGAAAGCTGTAATACAAACAACTTAAGACATCAGCATTTTTTGCTGACTTTATTGAACTGAAAAGGTGAATGTGTCTTAAAAGAACATTGATGTGATAATCAGTGACTGTAAAGAATGTAAGACAGAATAATCTGAGAAAATATATAATTATATTTTCCTAATCAGATAAGTTAGAAAAAAAGAGTACCAAAAATAAAATAAAATACATATAGCTATTTAAGCGATGTTAAATTGAATTTGGCCAAAAAAGTCAAGTGGACAAAAAATTAAGTTACTGAAAAGCAATGAAATGTCATCCAAAATGTTAACCATATTCATTACAAGTATAACATAGGAAAGCCTCCTTTGAAGTATTTGATACTTCTATTTATGCTGCAGAAAAATATTCACCTGACTGATGAGGCTAGATGATTTTCATGCAGAAATAAATAACTTAAGGATTCTAAACTGTTTCTGGTAAAGAGGAAAAATGGAATACTTTTGTGACAATACTAGGTTGACAGTAAGATCAGTCTTCCTAGAAATATGGTCTAAACTTATCCATAGAGCCTGTGTATGCTATATGGAATATTCTTGGGATTGTTCACTCTGTGAGTTTGCTACCCTGCCTCCCAGATGTATGCACAGCAGTAAAAACTAGCCAGAAGTACACCAATAAAGTATTTTCCCATGACTTAATAAAAATATTCCCTACTGAACTGGTTTAGATTAAAGAAAGAAAACCTGTTTTTTCTTAGAACGTATCAGAAAACCAATGTCTAAAGTTGGTGATGAATGTATTGAGCTTTCACATGATTAGTGTCAATGTTTCTTTGTTAGGTATGTTCTGAATTGCTGAATACAGGTGTATGTGTCACCTGTGTTTTCCAAAGCACCAAAGTTCTCCCCAGTTTCTACATGGTGAATGATTATCTAGCAAGTCAGATTATTGACAAATTTATACCTACCTGTTTCAGCATATAGTGTCTGAAGCATCTTGGTTCTAGGCAACACAAGAACAGGAAAAGACTAGTCCCAAACACTTATCATATTTTCTATTCGCTGTTGTTAACTAACAGTGACTTTATGAATGGAAAGATTATTAAACTTCAAATTATGTTACTGAATATTTGTCTGATACTGTCAGTGTTACGTAATAAAAAGCATTGTGCATACACAAGTCCTTGAAATAACTCATCAATAGTATTAATTCTGAAAACCACTGAAATTAGTTTGTAGAAGTGTAAAAACTGAACTTCTAAGCAAGTTTATAATCTTTCCACTTACCATTCTTGCTTTGTTCCATATTTAACCTTTGTGAAACAAAATCATACTTTGCTTTCCCACCACTCTGATGATTTGTTGTTTCCACAGTCCATTTATCCTTTGGAGATGTTTGTAAAAACGGGACTTTGAAAAAGTACGTTCTTGCAGACATTCTCAGTTGCTAAGTTTAAATATGACTGAGTATATATATAAGAGCTCTTGTTCCTTCCTTTTCCAGATATATGTCTAACATACATGGTACTAAGATGTAAGGTATTATGCGACTGTATGTGAGAAGGTCTAGTGACCTTGAGCCTGATTGCAGTGCAAACGGTCGCTCAAAATCAAAGTTAGAAGTGAAAATCAAATTATTAAGAAAGCAGGAAGACACACATTTTTTGTTTAGTTGGAGGTAATTTTAATGTCAAGCACCCGACTCAACACATTGTTTTTGATTCATGTATTGATTTTGGTTGGCAGGATAAAACTAGAGTTAAAAGTTATATTGATTCCTTTATTACCAAAAATGTCAGAATCGTATTGTCCTTTCTGAGTACTCAAAGTAGGGGGTCAAGTTATTAACAGACGTTCAAAATGCCCCAAAAATTCATATGCCAGTTCTCACATCTCCCTTCTTCTAACTTCAATGCCTCTTTTATTAAAAAAATATCCTACTAATCATCCCAAAGAGCCACCTTTTTCTTTCTCTGCAATTTGATTAAGCTAATTCCTGCTTTTCAATGTTTCTGGATGTTTAGAAAGTTCTAACTTGACTAGTTTGGACGTATTTGGTAAACGGCAAATTCATACCAGTAAAAAAAAATAAAGGAAAAAAAAAAAAAAAGAAATTGATTTGTTAGCAATCTTAATAATTTTGTGCTTGTCATGCATTTAATTTGCTGTTTCACTTACTAAAAAGGGAGGGACAGTAGTGTTGCCCGTCTACTTAGTGTACAACTTCAAGTAAATTAAAATACATTAGAAAAAATAGATCATCATAATGGATGAAAACTGAGAGAATGATAGAAGATTCTTGTGTCAACCAAATTTAATTCATGCAAGCTCTAGTGGTGGGACAGAAAATCTTATTTTGCCTTCAGAATTACTTACAGGCTTTTCAATAAGCACAACATAGGATGTCAGTGTACTCCAGTTGTTCCATTTCCACGTAAATACTTGGGAGTCAACACCCCACTAATACAGAAGCCAGAGCATTAATTAAATTCTGAGAACTGGTCACCGAGAATGAAAACTGAAAGCAATAGCAAATGTCCTAATGCCTCTTCTTTACTGTTTAGTGAAGTAGCTCAGCACCAAGTTAAACTGTGCTTGCACAGTAAGAACAAGGAGGAATACACTAGATTGTACAGTGATGCACTCTGCATACGTGTACGTGTTTTTAGGAGTGCTTCTAGGACTGTTCTGCTATGTGTAGATTGTTCCTGGAAACTAAACACTAAAATTAAACAATCTGAATCACTCGTCTTTTTTGTTATCCTCATGATTTGTTGATTTTTTTAGAAAGTGTGAGGAAATGGACAAGTATGTGAGTGATAATGGAAAAAATTATGTCACCAGTTTCTGTTCACTGAAAAAAAAGAGAAAATTATAGTGCTTGTCCTTATCTCTGCAATTGTATCGTCAGATTAATGGAAATCTGTTTTCACCTGATGCAGGGGAGAAAGTGTGTTTGTTTTGTGTCTTTGGTTATATTGCAAAAACTGTAGTACTTCTTAATCGGACTTATTTCATTGCTTTAATGTAAGTGAAATGAGTTGCTGCAAATTATCCTTTGTAGCAAAATATCTAATGTTTCAGAAATTTTTGAGGCTGCAGGCTAATATTTTCATTTTGCCACACTCTTATTTGACATACTTCTGCTATTGAATGCTGTAATCTTTGAGGCTTACCATCTTTTAAAAGATCTGCTATGTCTAAAATGTACCCATGTCTCTGTGATCTTCCATTCACTCCCCCCATATGTACATAGGAGATTGTTATTTTCACAAACAGTTCAAAGACTGTTTGTCTTTGATGCTTATTTTGTATTTTGTAAAAAGTGCTTATTTTGCATTCTGTTGTAGAACATTTCTGGACTTGTTTTGCATTGAGGCAATGCAGAACTTAATGCCAGCAATCAATTGAATCATGTTTTTTACTACATTACAATTTACTTAAACCATGATTTTAAGTGGTTTAGACTGGATAGTAGCCGAAGAGGTGTTTTCCATATCTTGGTTTTGAACTGGGAGAAATAGTGAAGTCTCAGTCAGCTTTGGTATTTCATTGTTAACATACTTATAAAAATCTGTACAATTTATTTGAAGCTAAGTACATAAAGTATTAATAAAATCAGAAAAAATAGTGGACTGTTGACTGAATGATCAGTAGACAGACAGCATTTAAACCTTTTGTGCTGCAAGCCAAACTATATGAACTACAGAACAGTGTGTGTGTTCTATGGGGCCTCTTAATGTGCATCCTGTTGTATTTTGACCTACGTGATGCCAATGAATCTGACTTCCATAGAGATGCATTGCATGCAGTTTTCCTTTTTTTTTTTTTTTTTTTTAATATTAAGCATGCATAATTTATTGAAAATATTGTGGTGTGTCAATGGAAACCATTTCCAGAGAAAGAGAGAGACATGCTTACATGAGCAATACCTACATTATTATTTGTGCAGCTGGGAATGATGCATCATAAACTATGAAAATACTACAGGCTATTTAGGCTACATATTCTTGTTGTATGATGTATGACTTGTTTTATAATGTGTAGAACTAATTCAGACTGAGTATTACAGAATCACAGAATTGCAGGGGTTGGGAGGAACCTCTGGAGATCATCTAGTCCCATCCAAAAGCATGTTCCCTACAGTTATTTGTTATGTTGCACTTTTAAGAACATATTGTAAGGAATTATATTTTATCAGTTAGGTAACGTATAGCATTTGCTCTAAAGAAAGAACAGGGAAAATTATAAACAGGGAGCAATACTGGAGGACCAGGTCAAGTTTAAACTGAAGCTTACTTGTAGTCTTTATATAGACAAGATAGACAAGAAGAGTTCTGAGTGGTAAGAAAGCATATATTAAACTTGTTAAAGGTTATTACATATTAGACTGTATGTATGGTTGTGTCTAAATAGCAGCTTAATCTGTTCTAAGTTTTTGAATTGAAAAAACCCAAAAAGATTGAACATCACAAACAAAAGTCTTGGAACTTGGTAAGAG